GCGTGCCGTTGGCATTCACAAATTTGGGACCTGAATGGCCGAGTGTCTGGCGCTCGGTGCCACAGGTTTCGGGTTCGAATCCCGGTGGTGCCATGGATGTTTGTAGTGGTTCGGAATCCACTTTAAGCTGTAGGTCCCGGTCTCCTATGACTGTAAGAGCGTCACGGAGCCAAAGTCAGACTTCTACCCACGGGTGCTTCATCACAACAGAAGCTGCTTCCTTCCCCTTCAATCATGAGTACGTATGGGCTAGTGGGCTTGGCCAGCTAAGTGGGATAATAAACAACAACAAACATATATATATAATCACCATCATCATTATCAATAGCACGACAGCCCAAGGTGGGCCAAAGCTTTCCTTTGAAGAGATTTCCATACATTCCTCTATGTGACGATGGTTCTCCAATTCTTAACCTTTAGTACAGCAAAATCTTTTTCAACTGCGTCTATTCATTACAACTTGGGTCATCCTCTTCCTCTTTGTCCCTATGGCTTTGCCAAAACAAGCCTTTTTTACAGGGTTTAAATCATTCATTCTAAATACATGAGCAGCCCAATTTAATTTATTGGTCTTGATAAAATTTATAATATTTAGGTCTTTATAGTATTTATAAATTTCTGCGTTGTACCGTCTTCTTTAACAACTCCAAGAATAGCCCTTAAAATTATATACACATATATATATATATATATATAATACGTGACATATAATAAATACTTAATGTATCAAAAATTTTCTAATGCATAATGTTAAATTGTGTTCAGTTTTAATTTAACCATTAATATTTATTTGCATGTGAATCATAAAATGTGTATCTATAAAACCACATTTTTCGTGCTGTATAGAATTTATAGTATGTAGTAAAAAGATATGGGTTTGTGAATAACTTTTAATTAATTTATACTCTCTGAATAGCCGTTTAGACATTCCACCGTCGGATGTTTATTTGGATGAAAATAAAGAATCGCACAATGTAAGATTAATAAGTCCATGCGTGAAACTTCAACTCCACATTTCTCCTGCAGACGTTTACTGCAATTTGCCATTTGCGGGGATATGTAAGTATCGCATCAAAAATAATTGTCTTGTCAGTGTTTTTCAAATACAGATATCAAATGTGCATTTTATTAATTCAAATTCAAAGTATAAAACTCGTGAATTTGTAGTAAATATAGTGTATAAATTATAGTGAGTTACAGTGTGCAACTCATATAGATATATGATATATTGAAGATCATATAGATCTATTGTGTTGTTAAGAATATGTCATATAGATGTTGAAGAACATGTTATATTATGCCCACATATATTGTAACGTCTCCGCCTATACTAGACCTATAATGGTATCAAGAAGAGGGCCACTTTCAGGTTCATGGAAACAATTTTATTTAAATATATATATACAAATTGATAGTTACAAAAAAAATGAAAAATAGAGAATTAAATTTGATTTACAAGTGCAGTTCGCTCCAATAACAGATATTTTCAAGAGTTTTCGAATTTACGACGAATCTATTTCACCAGGTATATTGCAGACCTTAATTATCACATGGTGTGATACACGAAACCACAACAGGCTTACTTCGTAATCAGACGGAATCTCCGACCTGTTCAATTACTTTCAGAAAAAGAGAAAAACAACTCTTCTTGTTGACTTGTCGCAGAACTTTCCCTGTTTTCTCCGTCAGCTTATCTCATTTCTCATTGGAGTGGACTTTTCCTCAGCCCATGATCTGTCACGATGCAGCAACTCATCATGAGTCCATATCCCATCTGTAATTGTTTCGATCTATGAAGGTCGAACAGACAATCGCTAATTCCATGATGTCTCATTATCCATGACACTGATTATCTGCTGTCAGATTTCAATGACAGGTTGTTCTCATTAGTACAAAACACTAATTGCATGTAATATAAATATCCATGATACTGATTATCTTCTGTCAGATTTGAGGGATAGATTTCTTATTGCGCACTTGTTAATGAATATGGATTCCTTTACCTTGGGAACAGAAATGCTATATCTCTTCCCATGGGAAAATGCTGCAATATATACAAGTGTAATTTTTCAATTAAAATCTATTGGATTTTTTTCATTCTGGTCTAATAACTGACTTCAATTTTTAGTAACTAATAATATTTCTCAATAACCGGGCAACCACTGTAGAATGACAACTTCTCTCATTCATTGCAGATACAAATGTAGCATTTTACTAATGTCATCGGAAAATGGATTTGTTAACAATTTAACAATAGTTTTAAAAGCAACTTCTGTTTCAGATTAAATTAATTTTGAACATTTATTAATACAGATGATTAATTTCTTCAATTAATTTCTTCTAAAAAATGAATACGAAGTAATTGTTAGCCTATCCGCAAATAAAAGACATACGCAATATTTTATTATATAAACTACTAGAAAAATACCAGGATTTTAAAATTGATTTATGTATGAAAAAAATTGTGTACTATCATTGTTATATTGCTTATTATTTGTTTGAATTTTCTTTTTTTTTCAGATATCTACCGATTCGACAATACTTTCAACTGGATTAGCGGCCGAAAGTTGTTTTTCCGATTTCACATCTTACCTCCTAAATCATCCTGATGAATGAAAAAAAAAAAAAAAAATAATTTATAAATAATTTGACTGTATAAAGATAATAAAAATTGCAACTTTTTTTCAGTTTTGTTTTAGTATAATAAACATTCATCTTTATTTATAATATTTTTATAATCCATGGTTTCTTATTAAAATTAATTTAAAGAATAAATACCTGATTAAATGAGCTATGTAGTTTTCTTTTTTAATTTATTTTTCATTCATCTCTATACAGGGTGTTCGTAAAATGTCTTGACTTCGAATCCTATCTTCTTGGTGTTCTTTTCGTAATGTCTCGGTCTATACTAGACCTATAACGGCTTCAAAAATAGGGCCACTTTCAGGTTCATGGAAACATTTTAATTTTCATTTACAAGCATTATATGCATATATACAGAACTCTATTTACAAAAAATGAAAATTAAAGATAATATGATTCACAAGTGCAGTTCACTGCAAGGACAGAGATTTTCATAGTTCTCGAGTCTAAGACGAATCTAAACACCCGGTCTGTAAATTAACCTTAAAGACCTTAATTATCACACGACGTGATACATGAAACTACAAGGGGCTCACTTTATAAACAGGTGGAAACTCCGGCTATTTATTCACTTCAGTGAAAAAAAAAAAAAGCACTTCTTGTTGACTCGTCACAGAACTCTTCTTCTCCAAAACCTCCCTATGAGAAACTCCGTCAAGGGGGTCAGCTTGCCTCACTTCTCATTGGTGTAGACACTTTCTCAGGTCGTGGTTTATCTCCAACCTCGATGCAACAACTCATGGTGTAGTCCATATTCCATTTATAATTATTTTGACCTGTGAAGGTCGAACAGACAAATTGCTAATTTCACGAGGCCTCATTATCCATGACACTAAACATTTGCTATCAGAATTGAGTAACAGGTTGTTCTCATTAGTACAGAACACTAATTGCATGTAATATAAATATCCATGATACTGCTTATCTGCTATCAGATTTGAGTGACAGGTTGTTCTCGTTAGTACAAAACACCAATTGCATGTAATATAAATATCCACGATACTGCTTATCTGCTATCAGATAGATTTGAGTGATAGATTGTTATTATGCACTTGTTAAAGAATATACATTCCTTTCCTCTGGGAACAGAAATGCTATATCTTTAGTCTTGGTAAAAATGCTACAATATGAATTGTGTGAAAACATGAAAGGAAATAATTGTTTGCGGTGTTTTTTTTTTTTTTTTTTTTTTTTTTTTACATGTTGAACAATTTTGTCTAAGATTTTCTGAATCCTTAATTTGTAAATAAATTGTGAAAACGTACCAACAAAATATAAAACTTGCTTAAATATTTTTTATTAAAGATTGGCAATGGCAATTTATATCTGTCACTCAGCAGCAAATTAGAAAATAGTGAATATGTTTTCTTACCATTATTGTTCTTTCTTAGTTCGTTTATCCTGCTTTCACTAACAGAATACTTTTCTTATTCATCTTTTTTCAATTCCTACTATTAGTTCACACTCTCCCTATATATATTTTATTCAAATTTTCAATCGTTAATAAAATACTTTTATTCATCCACTCAAGTTCAAATACATTTTTTTTTTTTTTTTTGAACTTTAGTAGATGACACTTGATGTTAATATAGATTTTTCTAATATTAGAGAGTTTTTGCATAACGTTTTTTTATCGTCCGATATTTTTTTTTTTTCTTCTTGAGAGCGCATGCTCATAGGAAACATTGTACCTATTGCGCATGCGTATCTGTAATACTGCACTACTGAGCTATTCCTATGAGCATGCTCGCTAGGAAGAAAATATGAAAACGTTATGCAATAACTCTCTATTAAATCATTAATTAAATTTAATTATTTAATTTTAGTTTTATATGGGAGAAAAAAAATTTCTCTTATATAAGATATTTAGCAGGATATAAATTTAGGAATAAATACCGTCAGCGGAGAAGCGGGTAGATCACTTGAAAAAAATTTCTTTTTTCATTCTGGGTTCTAGTCTGAGTCAAGGAAGGAACAAAATGGAAAATGAAACATGTGAATAAATTAGTGAGAGAGATGGAAAGTGTGTATTAGAGAGAGATAGAATTACTTAAGAGAACTTGTTGTTGTTGTTGTTTCTTATCCCACTTGGCTGGCCAAGCCCACGAGCCCATGCGTACTCATGATTGAAGGGGAAGGAAGCAGCTTCTGTTGTGATGGAGCACCCGTAGGTAGAAGTCTGACTTTGGCTCCGTGACGCTCTTATAGTCATAGGAGACCGGGACCTACGGCTTAAAGTGGATTCCGAACCACTACAAACATCCATGGCACCGCCGGGATTCGAACCCGAAACCTGTGGGCACCGAGCGCCAGAGCGCTAGATACTCGGCCATTCAGGTCCCAAATTTGTGAATGCCAACGGCACGCGGTGTTGCCAGGTAGTCACCCACCCAAATACTGACCGCGCCCAATGATGCTTGACTTCGGTGATCTAACGAGAACCGAAAAAAACTATGTGTTCTCACATAAAAGCTTTATCATAAAAATTACCTAAAATAATTTCCATATTTTTATCAATAAATGTATCATTAGGAATACATTTTTGATTATAAGAAACCTAACATATCACTTGTTAAAAATTTCGAGTTAATTTTTCATCAAAAGTCAAAACAAAATAAAACACATTTGTCGTTATGGTAGTAAAAGTACATATTTTACTTGAGAATTACTCGTTACTATAACCCAGGGATGGGCAAACTCCTGTCCGCCAGAAAGTTTTATCCGGTCCGAGGATAGAATTTTAATTTGCCGGTCCGAGGCAAATTAAAAATATATATTTGTATATTATATATCCATCTCCTTTTCTACTTTGATTAAATAGTATTTTTTTTTCTTCCTTTTTTTCAAAGTACTGGTGATTTTTTTACTTTTTCTATTTTTATTCTACAAAACATAACTTCATCTTGCATCTTCAACTTATGTATGTGAACAAGTGTTTCCAACTATGAACCTTAGAAAGAATTATTTCAGAAGTAGACTGACAGATGAGCATTTAGCCTCGTTCCTTAGAATCAGTACATCTCACTTCGAACCTCAACATAAGGAACTTTTAAAAATGAAATCGCAGTTTCATTCATCTCATTAACATATTTGAATTTTAATACTTGTATAATGTTTTTAAAATTTTAGAAAAATTTATCTTGGCCTGCCAAACTTTTTTTCTTTCGATTTTTGGCCCGCGACCGAAAAAAAAAATTTGCCCATCCCTGCTATAACCGGTGATGTTTTTTTTTGTTGTTGTTGTTAGTTTGTTTAGTTAGTGGTTTGGGTTTTGACGGGTTTTTTTTTATTTTTTGGTTTTGTTTGATTTTTTCTATTTATTTATTTTAACAAAATAATTTTAATGATTAACATTTTGTATTACTTTTGCAAATCCTTCAGGTGTTGAAATGAGTTAATAGAATTCTTTCCAAAAAAATCTCCGATAAAGAAGTTGGCAAAATTATTTCGCAATACTTAAGTTAACAATAAAAAAATTTTTTTTTAATTTCTGGTGTTTTTTTCCTCTTTTTTATTATTATTTTTTTAATCGTACAACATTTTTTTTCTCCTAAAGTTCAATTCACTAAAACAAAATAATACCTATGCTAGAGTCAGATTTTTAAATCGAAACACGTTAAATTTTCTTTTTCTTCAAAAATAAATAAACTGAACTTAAGTAAAATTAATCAAATCAAGGCATTTCATTTTAATTTAAAAAAAGATATTTTATTAAAATTCAAACTCTTGAGTAGTTAATAGAAGATTTTTAAACTATTGTTTAAGTAATTTCAAAAGGAAATTTTCCTTTCTAAATTAACTTTAAAAATGGCTAGAAATGTAGCTAAATGCGTTTTATTCATAATAAAAAAAAAATACAATTAATAAAAACAAATCTGTTACATAGTGGCCATCAATTTTCATAAATCATAATTTTCCTTTTTTATATAAGAAAGTTAAAACAAATAAGACACATAAAATTATAAATTTTCTAGAAATATTTCTTAGTTAAAACATCGAAAACCAATTTCTAAAATATTTTTAATTTCATTAAAAATAATTATTTTAATTTCCTTTCCTTTCCTTCTTTATTTACTATAACTAAAAATTCTGCAAATTACCAAAGTAGAAAAATAGTCAATATATTGTTCCAAAAAAGAAGTTACGAATTTCTCTAGAGTATTGTAACCCGAAAGAAATTGGCGGAACATTGGCGAAATATTCCGAGTTTCAAGAGTGGCGATTTCCTCACAGGGGTGCAGTATTCTAGATTTCAACCAACAAATTCATTATACAAAATATTATCAATGCCATTTTAAAAAAATTTTGTCTTTAATCATGTAATGATTACATTAAATTCTTAGCTTTTAAAGCTAATAATTCATTATTTGATTTATTTTTTAGAGAAAAATTTAAAGGTTGACTGTTTTCTTCAAAACAAAAATTAGAAAAAATAATTAAAACTGCTAAAAAAGAATGTTTCATAATGTGTTTTACATTTTGAAACGATATAAGAAATTAACATTTATAAATTTTTGGACCACTATTTTTGCTGTCATCACTATGATAGACAAGATTCATAATCTGCGATGGTTGGGGAGCTGGATTGTTAGTTGAGGGGTTGGGTGCCGGTGATGGCATGGGTGGTGGTGGAGTTGGTGGCGGTGGAACTGTAACTGGTGGCAGACCTTTCGGTAAACGATCTCTGTAAAAAAATTAAAAGAAAATCATATTTCAAAAGCAATTATAGTATACTATCCATTTCCTTTAAAAAACAGTATCAGTAATACTACTGTGCCCAAAAAGTGACCATGCCGTAAGAAATTAATTGCGTTATACATAGTATATGGGGAAGATATATATTTTATAGTTGTAGATATAATAATATTTGTGATTACCCCTGTACCCAAAAAAGTAAGACCAATTATTTTTTTTAAAAACTCTTTTATTTATTTTTCCAAATTTATTTCATCACCTTTAAAGTAATCCTCTCCGGACACAATGCACTTATGGAATTTTTTTTTTTTTTTTTTTTTTTTTTTTTTGCAATCCTCAATGCATACTAAAAATTCATTGGCAAGGATGGCCTTCAAAGCGTGTGGCGATTCACGTTGAATCTCTTCAATCTATTCAAAACGGTGTCCCTGGAATGGTCTTTTTTTTAGTTTAGGGAATAGCTAGAAGTCCCACGGTGTGAATACGGTGGTTGTGGAACTATATGGATTTCATTTTTGGCGAAAAAGTCACGAAGAATCAATGCAGTGTGAGCTGGCGCATTCAGTGTTTTCGGTGCCAATCGAGATTTGACGCGTTTGAGGCCCATAATAGAATTGACCGATCCTTTTTGAAATTGCAACATCCACAACAAGGTCTCTAATTGAAATCAAAGTTTTTCAAGCATCAAATCTTTAATTTTTTGGAAGTGAGCTTTGTCAGTTGAGGTTTATGGTCAGCCAGAGCGCTCTTCGCCCTCGGAATTTTAAATTGAAAATTGGTCTTACCTTTAGACATAGTATTTTCATGTTCATTGCACGTTACTTCTGAACAATAGGGGTGCGACAGTAGATCTACCTCCTCGTGATGCATCCTGATAACGTCCTAGGCGGCTAAAAGATCTACTACTATCGGAGTGCAGCAACGCTCCAAGAGTGATCACTTTCGTGGATAATTATAGATTCGAGGAAGGACTTCATTTCTAAGCCGAAAACCGAAACTCGGATACGCGCTGAGTGTGCGAAATATACTTCCGCCCCGGGTAAGAGTTCGTAGACCAATTAATGCACAGGGATGCAATAAATATATTTCCTCTGGGGATAAACTAAACGTTTCTCAGCGGAAGCACAGCTTACGCTGTACTTCCTATCGGGTGAGAGTCTCGAGGCCGACTGACTATTTCTCTTGAATATCAAAGAGGTGCTCTTGTTGGTGTGTAGGAGGGAGCACGGTTACAAAAGAATAAAAATTTTTTCTTTGCTTAAAGAAAATAAATTCCTGAGGGGCGAAGAAAAAAATTTTGTTCTTTGAAAAGGGAGAGTAGGGGAGAGCGGTTTGGGAATCACTGGTCTAACTAATAATATATATATAAAAATGAATATAAAATAGTCAATCAAATATTTTTAGCTCATCACTTCATTGAAATTCTCAATAGGTTTAAAGAGGATGATAATTAAAAAAATTGACCAAAAAAAAAAAGGCTTGTCGAATTATTTTTTCTGCGTGCATATATAAATCTAAAAATAAAAAAACAAAAATATAAAAATAAATAAATAACAACATACTAAGAATTTTTGGACTCTTGAAGGAAAAAAAAAAAAAGTACTAGAGCTAATAGGTGGGCGGAAAAGTCCGTAGGCTGACACATAGATGGCGCTACTAGTATTAAATCCATATGATTTTTTGTTAGCCCTAACCTTCAAAAGACACGTGTATAAATTTGACAGCTGTTGCACTATTAGTACGTGAGTTATAGCATTTTTAGTAACATTAGCATTAGCACTTAGTGTTCATCACGTGCAATCCTCTCGGCTGACTGACGATTGAACTCCCGTGTGAAATGATGGAGCCATGTTTCATCCATTGTCACATATCGACGCCAAAATTCGGGTTTAATACGATTAAACAGCTCCAAACACTGCTTAGATCATCAATTCGTTGTTGTTTTTGGTCAGAACACTTTGAACAGAGCTTTTGCACGCATTCACGACATATCCATTTTCATTCACGACATGTCCAACACGTTCCTTTGATATCTTTAGGGTCTCAGCTATCTCAATCAACTTCACTTTAAGGTTATCAGAAATTATTTTGTGGACTTTTTGATCTTTTCGTCGGTAACAGCCTCTTTGGGGCGTCCACTACGTGCATCGTCCTCGGTGCTCATATCGCTTCGTTTAAATTTAGCAAACCACTTCTGTACGGTTGATTTTCCTGGTGCAAAGTCCGAATAATGTTTATCAAGCCAAGCCTTCACTTCAATAGTATTTTTTTTCGCCAAAAGCAATGTTTTAATTAACACACGAAATTCCTTTTATCCATTTTTTCAAACTAACAAAAGTTGCTTCACTAACAATGCTATAACGCGCATACTAATAGTGCAACAGCTGTCAAATTTATACACGTGTCTTTTGAAGGTTAGGGCTAACTAAGATTAATACTAGATAGCGCCATCTATGTGTTAGCCCTACGAACTTTTTCATCCCACCTGTTATGTAGCATAACAAGAGTAAAAGAATACAAACCGCGTTGGGGCAGCACAAGGTCGAGTAGTCATTGTTACAGCTAGGGGTCGGCAATGAATATCCTTATCTAAAATGCAAAAATACATCCTACTTAGAATAAATAAAGTTTTCTTTTTTTTAAAATTTTAAAAGCATAATAATTTAATATTAGTTAATTATCCATCTATAAATTGTACATTTAATAAAGTTTACAAGCGCTGAAAAGGCAAGAATTGAGAAATCCAAGT